GGGAGGGTGTTTCTAGAAGCGGAGACCCACAGGGGCTGCAGGAAGGGTTGGTTCCAGCAAAACCAACCCTACCTACCACCTTCCACCCAGTTGTCAGTTGGCCTGCCTGGGGGCTAATGACTCAACCTGTTCTCTCCCCAGCAGTTTCTCATTCCCAAGAATGCAAAGTCATTTTAAGCTAGAGCAGGAAGAGAAACAGGAGTCCCAGCGCTGGCATTTCCCTCCTTTGGAGCCACCGGGGGAGAGAGAAGCCTGCCCAAGAATGTCTGATTTTTGTAGCACCTATCCTCAAGGCACCACACACCCTTAAAATAACTGCACAAGTGTGTGTCCTGGGCCTACATCTGGGATGGTGACACTCTCAAAGGCTGCGTTCCAGCATACATTACATTACACATCTCCATCCGCCCAGACCCTGCTGCTAACACTCCCTTGCATTTGAAATCTCCCTTCCGGCCAGACGGCTGGATTCCAAGAGCATGAGAAGGGTTCTTTGAGCCCTTGCGGTTGGGGCGGGGGGGGGGGGGGGGGGGGTGTCTGCCCTGCTGCCCAGCCTCCCACCACAGAAGCGCAGAGCTCCCCATATGACTGCCGTCAAACATTTGCTGGGCTGGCCTAGTCAAAGAGGGGACCCCAAACCACCAGTCCCCGCCTAGAGATGTTGGTGGCCACAAGGCCCCTGAATACAGCAAACATCTCGGGGATGGCAGGGGGCACAGGAAGGTTACTTAAGATTGCTGTTGGAGCTGAGCCCTTGAGGGTGACCGGGAAGGAGGCTGCCTGGGCGTGCCAAGCACCAGACACAGCCGGGGCAAAGCCAGGCCTTCTGGACACTGGGGTTCCCTGGGTCCCTCTGCCATAGGCACCAGGGTTACAGTCCCATCAAAGGAAAGGTGAGGTTACCCCCGCCCCGATCTCAGAAAACTTAAACCACGAAGCGCCTTATTCAAAATTTCCCCAACCCCTCAGCTATTTACAGGATGGCAGTGGTGTCCAGGTCCAAGAAGTCAGTCAAGTCACAGCCTTATCCTTCGGTCTGTGACGAAGGACAGGGAGTCAGAGCCTGACTCTGACCTTGCTTGACCCAAGTCCCTCCTACAGACCAGCCCCCAGCCGGGGGGAAGAGAAAGGCAGTGTGTAGGAACACGGTATTCACTTCCTATTGCTGTTGTGACAAACCACCACAAATGCAGTGGCTGAGCACAACACAAACTTCTCTTCGGTTCTGGAGGTCAGGAACCGGTCAGCAGGGCTGCGTTTTCCTTCTGGAGGCTCTCCAGAGACATCATGCCTTTACCGTTCCCGGTTTCTGAGGCCACCTGTATCCCTCAGCTTGTGGCCACATTGCTTTGACCTCGGCTTCGTTGTCTCATCTCCTTCCGCCCCTCCTGTCTCCCTCTTACAAGGACTGGTGCGGTTACAATGGGCCCACTCAGGTGATCCAGGATGCTCTCCGACCTCAATCAAGATCCTTGACCTTAGTCACATCCGCAAAGCTCCTCTGCATGTCAGGGACCATATTCACAGGTTCTGAGGACACCTGTTGGGGGGACTTTATTCTGTCTAGCCCAACACAAGGCTCTTGCAGCTCTCGGCCATCCCACGAATCT